GCCTAACAGAATGTCATCTGACTTGTTTTTATTGAATGTTACCAGCTTCTATTGTAAAAGTTGTTAAACTGTACTTAGCAAAACCCCACCTATGTCTCTTCGTGTAATTTCTTGGTCTGGAGAATAAATGCAGGAAGAGAACCCCAATTCGGGGTTAATTTCCCAAATGGAAGAAATGCCTTGTGCTTGAGGAAGTTCTGGGATATTAACCCCTTTCTGGGGCTTCTCACTGCTCAAAAGAGAAGGGCTTTGAGTAATCTTTGGCGGCTCTGTCACCCAGGGGAAAGGGGGTGACAAATCCGTGGGAGGCAAAGCAACACACAAGGATATCTTCAGGTAAAATATACTTCAAATATGGTAAAGCAGAGGTACTAAGACCTTGCTACTCAAGTGTGGCTGGTGAACCAGCAGCATCAGCATCATATTGAAGTTTGTTAGAAATGTGGAAGTGTGGGCTCTACTCCAGACCTGCATATGAATCTGCATTTCAGCAAAGCCCCCAGGTGCTTCATATGCACTTTGAGAAGCACTGTACTGAGATTACCGTGCTGTCCTCACATGAATGAGGCTATAATGGTAGAATTAACACTGAGTGGGACTAGTGTTTTCTGCTTATAAGGTTCCTGGGAATGGTGCTCAAAACTGAAAAAAAGAGACGGATATGTGTTTGTGGGGAGGAAGACATTGCCCACTAGTTCTCTCTTCCCCAATTTGATCATCTGCTAGAGTGGCTAACGGGTGCATTTCCCCAAAGTGTCCCTTCTAGTGCTTCTACCTATATAGTCTTGGCCACGTCTGAGGAATCTTTGAAGAAATAAGCAAGAACTGCACACCACCACTGAAATCCTTCTGATCCAGACATTTTGAAGGAATGATTAATTCATAAGGAAATTACACCCAGAAAGTCAAGTCAGTTATATGTTTGAGGGACTAGTTTGCTCAACTCTACCAGGCTTTGGTGGATATGATTCAGACCCTCATGATGTGTCCTACTCCATCAGACTACTTGTGTAAATGTTGGCTAAGGAGTTTGGAAATGAAAGTGACGAGACAATGAGAGGAATGAAATGCCAAGGAAACAATACCAGGAAAACAAGGTCTGTCTGTTATCAGAGGAAGGATCAAGCCAGATAGTCTGTTACATAATTTCTCTGATGTAAGAATTTGAAAGCAGGTGTCGTGGGCATCTGTATGGGCAATACTACTCAGAATTATTTTCATTTGTGGATATATGATATCAGGCTAAGCAAGAGGTAAAGAAGCTTACTGTATTACTGTCTTTCCTGGAAAAGATTGATTTTTCTCTTTACCCTTTAGGGGATATAAATTATGATACCTGCTACCACAATAAGCAAACTGTTATGCTGCTTTCTCATTAAGTAAACTATTTTCCTAACACTAAACATCACTCTGTCTAGCTGACTGACAGTACTTTTTTCTTTGATTCATGATTTTTCTATCATACCAAATTTAGGTGAAAGCTAGCTAACTAAGTCTTTCGCTTCTGTCAAAGGGATTTTTAGAAGGGGCAATGGTGGTGGAATTTGAATTATTTTAAATTGTTTATTCCCTGGAAAGGCCAGTGAGTTGCAGCTAACTATAGAATCATGGAATTTTTAAAGGAATTTAAGAGACCTAATCTTATTTTAAATAATGAGGAAACAGAATCAGAGAGACTTAACCAGGGTGGCAATTGTGGGAGAGTGGGGTAGAATCCAAGTGTACAGTCCCAGGGCATTGTTTTGTTTATTTTTTAATTCAAACACACATGAGTGATTGCTTCATAAATCCAAGAATTTTCTGTTTAATTTGGGGTTACTACAGACACAGGTACTCTAGCCATGTGACTGTTTCATATTAGTGTTCTCATTCCTCTCTATCCTGTTCTTCATATCTGAGTATGTCATGATTCTGAAATCTATTTTTGAAAGAAAACCAGAAAGATGCATGCCAAGAGAATGAGCATTAAATGAAGCAATTCAAATATTTAGACTTTTTTTTCCCCCACAAAATGCTGAGTTAAGCAAGTTTATTAACAGCAGTTGAGAATAAATAGCTTCATTGATTTTGGCAAATGAATGAGAAGATCTAAACATTATCAAGTCACTTGAAGTTGATGTGATGATAAAAGTTGAGATGTTTTGCTAGATACTGAGAGGAACATAAATGGGCCATCTGTGCTCCTATAAAAAATGAAGTTTGTTTATGATCAGGAGACAGCATGATATAAAACAGACTTTGGACACAACAGACTGGGTCAAATTTTACCTAATTTGCTTATAAGTATTTGGTTTGACCTAAGACAAATTTTATATTCTCTCTTATTCTCTTAGCAGTTTTCTTTTATCTATAAAACAGGAAAAAGATCTGTTTAGTTTTTTAGAGTTTTGTTTGTTTGTTTTGTGGGGTAATGTTTATGAAAATACCTAGCACCCAGGTGCTCAGTAAATACCAGTTTATCTATCTGTTTTTCCCTGAAGCTTTGTGACAATGTAGGATATTGCTAACTAATCCTTTGATTTGAGTGCTTAGCCATGCCCCTATCCAGAGAGCATGGAAGATGATCAATCAAGAAGGGAGGGAGCACATGGTGGCAACTGACTTTTGAGGATCTATCAAGGATCAAGTCTACTGATTGGAGACCTCTGTGTCAGTCCATCATAACACTGAGGGTGGTCTCTGCTGAAATTAAAATTCTAGCAGAACAATATAACCAGAGGGAAGATGCTAGGTCCCATCATGTTCCTGTATTTGGAGCTGATAGCTTCTGTGAATCCTGTACTGCCCCTGATATGGGTTATTCGTCCCCTCCACAGCTCATGAGGAATATTGATCCCCAATGTGGCAGTGTTAAAAGGTGGGGCCTATAGAAGGTGATTGGATCATGAGGGCCCTGCCCTCATGAATGGATTAATCCATTCACGGAGTAATGGGTTAATGGTTTAATGGGGAGTGGTTCTGGGAGTGGTTCTGACGGCTTTTTAAGAAGAGCGAGTGAGCAGGCTAGCTCTCTCGCTCATGCCATTATTACCATGGGATCGCCTGCATCACCACGGGACCCTGGAGAGAATTCCCACCCAGAAGAAGGCCCTCACCAGATGTGCCCCGTGGACCCTGGGCTTCCCAACCTCCAAAACTGAAAAGTAAATTTCATTTTTTAATAAATTACCCAGTTTTGGGTATTCTGTTATAAGCGACAGAAAACAAACTAATACAACCCATTCCCCAATCATCTATATTGTTGCATTTACTTAGCTTTGTGCCTTGAACGTGCTTTTTTTTAAATCTCACAGTCACTCAAATGGTATTTTTCAAGATGTTTCTTCAATTAAAACAAGATAAAAAAGATTTTTTTTTCTAAAATGTTGACCCTTTTGAACGAGCCAGAAGAGCAGTTAAAGACAAGCGGTGCCTTGCTTCCTGTGAAAAATGCTTGGCAGTTAGCCTTTGTAATTATTAAGCAATCATGTTAATAGATGTTTAAAAATAATGGAACTGGAGCTGTACTGAACCAAGGATGGAAATGAAGACATGTAATGTGAGACTATTTTTTCTTCATCCATTGGTACTCTGTAGTGCTCAAAAAGGGTTTTAATTAAATGGGATCCAGAAGCTATGGACACTCTAGTTTTTCTTCCTAGGCACAAACCCTAGCTCAGGCCCCTGGAGTGTGACTTGGAATGCAGCATGGTGACTGCAGACTGACAGTGTGCCGGCTTTAGTTACTATGCTCTCCATCTTTTGGCTTACAATTATTTCAGTGGCTGGTTAAAGTTTTGCTATTACATAGAAAGATGGCTGATTTCATTATTTCTCAACATTTATAATAGAAAATACTACTCTTGAAAAATACTCTGAAAAACATATTCCATGGTCAAATAAGTTTGGAAAACACAATGAATTATTATTCCCTTTTTGCAAAATCACAATGCATTGTTAGCTAATTAAAGGTTCTGAGGGGCCGAGCCCGGGGCGCACTTGGGAGAGTGCGGCACTGGGAGCGCTGCGGCGCTACCGCTGTGGGTTCGGATCCTATAGGGATAGCCGGTGCGCTCACTGGCTGAGCGCAGGGCGGGCAACACCAAGCCAAGGTTTGCGGTCCCCTTACTGGTCACAGGAAAAAGGACAAAAAAAAAAAAAAAAAGGTTCTCAGAAGTCCTGC